CTGCTCCGAGGATGACCTCGGGAGGGGGAGGGGGCGCCGAGTGTGCGGTTGCCCCTCCCCTTCCCGGCGCCGAAGACGGCCCAATAAGCTGTCTGCTTAGGCCCTAAGCTCTCACCTTTTGCCACTCTACTCAGAGAAGAGGACGGTTCCTTTTTTGATAAGATTTAATACTGTACCTTAATTCTTGCCTTTACATCCTTTTTGACATGAACACATTTTCTTAGCTCCATCCACACCTGGTTGCCTCTCCACACATTGGACAGCCACCATTTACCATAATTCATTCATCATTCATTAGGGTGAGAAATAATAATTATGGCTGCTGGAATTTTCTATGTTCTTTGGCATAGTTTTCTTTTGCTTCATAGTTTACATCCTTTGTTCATGCCCCTAAATTCAACCCTCAACTTATCCTATGGGTTATATCAAAACCCATAATTTAGGCCGCAAAACCTGCCCTCAACTTATACATGAGGTTGACATGCACAAGTATATATGATAGATTAGGAGTATATCTGAGGTAATGTGTTGAAACATGAAGTAAAAAGAATATGAAATGGTAAGCACAAGCTTATGCAAACATGCTTTTGTTCAACTTGTTCATTTTACATACTGTTCAACAGAACTTGTTTGTTCAACCACACCTGTTTATTTTGCCTGGCTGTCAAGGCTTTTAACAAAGCAGCAAAGGAAAAAGATATTTCAGGATACTATAGCATGAATTGCCAATAAGAAGTAGAAAAGTAAATTGTTATATAAAAGTATTCTCTTGTTCTTGAAGAATGGATGCAGATGGAGGACAGCCCATACAACCACCTAGCTAGAAAGCATCACCATTGTCTGTTTGCAGTCAAAAAGCCAATACCATAAGATAGTGGTTTGCCTAAACCAAGAATTCATGTTTAGGCAGGAATCAGAAAGAAATTCAAGATGCATGACATGGAATTACATCGTCACTGTTTTACTCCTTGCAGATTTTAGACAAATGCGAACTATGACAATTGAGCATTTTCACAAAAGGAGTACCTTGCACTAAAGAGTAACAACAAAGTAGGAAGAAGGGTATGTTGCTGACGTTTGTCAGCATCTGGACAAATACCATCATTCTGAGCTCAACTTCATGTCTATGAATAGAGTGCAAGATCCAAGCAAGCAAGTTTATATCAAGAAAACGATTCTATATCTCAAAACATGAGTCCTGAATCCATACATAAAGCTTCAAAGAAAGAGAAAAATGTGGAAAACACTGCTGCAGTATGGGGAACTGGACTCAACATTAAATTGCTATGGAAGAGGCAATAGTCCACACTGAGGACACACAAGTCAGCATTCATTCTTCAGAGTGGGTTAGAAAGGACCCACGAATTCACAAACATACCACGTACTGGAATAGTGATTAAAAACAACCATTATAATAATGGTGTATTTTGAACAAATGAACAATACTTTCCCATCACTTACTGTAGCTCTGTGTTTCTCTATGTAAGCTTGAAATTTTCCAGATTTGTAAAAGGTTATCTAAAACAAGCAAAACAAAAAACAATAAGATGAGATTTTCCATAATATACACTTAAAGGAGAATAATTTTATGTTTTGGAGAGACAAAATCATCACTGAGCTCCTCTTTGGTTTAGAAACCAAACTGCTATTTGGTTTGTCAGCCAGTAGATCCACTGCTACAGGGGAGGCAAATCCGGTCTTGACTTTACTATCTCTTCTCCCACAGTTGCTCTGAGCTGAATGACAGCTCTGATGGTAATTAACCTCTGTACCTCCAACACTGGAGAAGTCTTATACAACTCAAAGTGGATGTAAGAAGGGTCAAGAGTGGATTCACTACCCCTCTGGAATGTGTTGCCCTTGTTTAAAGACAATGCCCATTCCTGGAAACAGAACAAACTATTCTGTATTTCTAGTTTTACAAAGCTCCTAAACAGATGTGAAGTTGGGAGGTGCTATGTTTATTATAGCATGGCAGTGAAGCTCCTTGTGAGCTTGGGACAAGAACTTCCCACAAGTGGCTGGTACATTTTGTGCTGACAAAGGCCTAACTGCTTTTCCCAAAGCTTGGGGAATGAAGAAAAGAAATGAAGAAAAAGGGAGTCAAAGGCAGCCAACATTTTCTCTTCTTCCTTGGACAATAGCAAAACCAATTCTGGAGCCATCTCTCCCTCCACATGAGATAGACACTGAAAGTAAGCATGAGGAGCAGGTTGTGATTTCTTAAGTCACATGAGACAACAGGGTCCACAGGAAGGTGAAACATGCCATCCATATCACCAGGCTACCAAGTTGCCATATTCTCCCTCTCAAAAAGCCTCACTAGCACAGAGCTGCCTGGGGCTCCTCTGCCCTGTCCAGAATACTCTGCTTCTGGTGTATTCTGACTGTCTAGACATGCATCCTGTTGTGGTGTCTGCTGCCACTGACACTGGCACTAGTCATTCCCTCTGAGGTCAGAAAGAAGGTGCCCAGTACTAGCACATGCTGGACTAGCACCAGTGAAAGCAGCATTGGGCAAAACAGCAGGATGCATGTGTAGACAGTTGCCCAGCATCGCTACAGCGTGCTCCAGGTTTTCCTGCAAGATCCAGAGCAAAACGTCAATTATTTTATACTAATTTAAGGATACTGTTTGTACATTGTAAAGACAGTTCACCAGGCTACCAAGTTGCCATACTCTCCCTCTTGAAATGCCTCACTAGCACAGAGCTGGCTGGGGCACCCATATCAGAGATTTCACTCTCCATCATGCTCAGGCCACCTTGAGGATAGGGGCGGGGTGCTGCTTCATTTAGCCCATATAGATATGCTCCCCAGTTTTTTTATCCAGATCTTTGAGAAAGAGTGAGCACCTTTGAAAACAGTTTCAACATCTTATTTAAGAAAGGTTGGACAAATATTGTTGATATGTTTGTTCTAGAACATGAATGCTTGTGGGGATATAGCTCTAATGATGATCCTCTTCTATTATGACTTTGGTCCTACTCAAGAGGAAGACATTTTGGTATGGGTCTAAAGGAGTTAGGGGCTGTACAGATGGGCAAAAAGAGGTGCACACCTAAAAGCCAGCACCACATGCTGGGAAAAGCTGCTCCAAAAAGGAGCAGCTTTTTCCCGCTTCTTCTGGAAAGATGCACACCTTTGCATGTGTGTATGTATGCAGCAACACCGGTGTATCAGAAAAAGGGTGCCGGAGATTTAAAATGGCTGTATAAATGCACCGCCGCATGTGCAACAGAAATTGAGTCGGTGATCCAGAGCATGTGCCCTATGATGCAGGCTTTAATTTAAAGCACCCTATGCTTCCAGGTGTGGATGCACAGGCACATTAGAACCCTAACCCTAACCCTAATTGTAACCCTACACATGTGCCCTAGCAACTGTTCTCTATTATGACAATAAATGCATTCTGTCTCATGTACGCTTGCTGTCAGCATGCACAGTAGTTTGCATGAAAGAGGCTTTTGTGACATTTTCTGTGCAGGTCTGCAGGTGTGCATTAGCACACTCCCTGGCATGCTGGGGGGAGGCGCTCCTGGAGTAACGTTTGTCCAGGTATCTTGTTGGCCATGTCCCTTCCATGACCACTAGCTGCATCTATCAAGTCTGTCCACACAAACCTCCCTTGCATGTACCTCTCCCCTCCCCCCTGATCTGTGTGGACATGTTTTGTGGAGGATGATGGAGTAGGTGTCTTTTCAGCTGACAAACTTGTTCCTTCGCCTGAAGGGTGGCACAATCAGACAGTGGCACCTGTCTACTGTACCCACTCCT